TTTATATTTTGCTGAATCTGCATAAGTACAAAGCCGTCACGGAATTTATACATAAGTGTACTAGGAAGAAAAGTTATCATGTAATAAACATCATATCCTTTCATAATCTCCTTCATAAGCGTAGTATTAATTTCGCATGCGATAAGTGTTTTATATATATTAACTGTATTTGGAAAATCGTACATCTCACGTTTCGTGTTGTCGATCAAGCTAATAAGAAAGAAAAGACAATCGACGTAACCTAATGTACAATAAAAGACCACACAGTACAATATACAACTGATAAATTAAACAATCATCCCTGTCTGCTGTACATGCCTAATCTATATAAATGTTTTACCCTTATTCTAAAACTAATACCTTGTTATAACACTGGCTGCTGGAAATGCCCAATGCCATTCACCTGTTATAATCCTGTTTACTACTAATTCCAATTAACGATTATCTTGTTATAAACCTGTCTACTGAAAATGGCCAATACTATACACTTGTTATAATCCCGTCTACTGGAAATATATACCCAACTCTACACTTGTTATAACCCTGTCTACTGCAAATGTTCAATTCTATACACTTCTTATAACCCTCTCTACTGGAGATGCCTAATACTATATTCTTGTTATAATCCTGTCTACTGGGAATATATACCTAACTCTACTCTGGTTATAACCATGTATACTGGAAATGCCCAATAGTTTACTGGAAATGCCATAACAATTGTTATAACCGTGTCTGCCAAATACTTTACACTTTTTATAACCCTGTCTAAAGGTATTAAATTATTGCGGAAGCAATATGCTTTGTGTCGGGAACGTAAGCGATAGTGCACCATCAACGATGCTGAAGTGCGTAGTGTGCTGTCACTCCTCGTTGTGGAAGGTGTGACGTCACTCCTCAAGGTAGACACCACACAAATGTGATTGTTATTTCCTAGTGTGGTAAATTGTTGAAATAATACTCATTCCACCCACTATAAATAATAAATAATAATAAACTACTATGGTTCAAAACTTAAATAAATACAAGCGGTGAAAGACAAATAAATAACAAAAAACTCAGTTGCTGCTTCTTTTTTTACTTTTTCAGAGTAAATTCAACACTACAGGTGAACACTGTAGCTTACTTTATTTTACCACCAGAATACAAATAATGTTATCACAATATTGACGTTATATTATCACCAGAAATTGCAAATAGGTACTTTGTATTTTATCTAGTGTTAGGTAAATTACATATACAAGCTCTTGATTCTGTACACATTAAATTGTATGTTTTCTAATTCACCTACTTATCCGCACCGCACCACATCGAATACATTCAAACTAGTATGGACAGTTTCAGATCCAGATACGGAATATAATCATAATATAAACCATTCATAGGTTGCTGTTGCACTGAATCATATACATTACTAAACTATCATATATTAACCCATTGTACCTTTACTGGGCAGACGCGCATAACATGCTCAGAACTCAGCATCCTGGATAAAATAAAATCTCCGCAAACGACTACTATATATATATATATATATATATATGTTTATATGCATCACGGAGTATTTGAAGTGCACATACTAATAAAAAAACTATTAAAAACCACTACAGTGCATATGTTAAAATTTACAGTATGTCATTTATTCACAGGCTTAAATCGTCTACAAATACTTTCAGTGATATAAATCCGGGGGCGTGTGACTCAACACTTTTCCATAAAGAAACAGTTGAAAGCTTCAATTATACTGTTGGGAGTTGTCTTATACTAAAAAAGGTAAAATCGGTAGGAGTGAACCATTTATCTTGTTGTCACGTGTGTGGTAGGACCAGTCAACGTCAGCACGTGGGTAGGGGAGGAGGGGAGTGTTAATACGGCCTTACCTCAGGCCACATCTGTTATATATGTTTGTTTGTTCACATGTGGGTGATGCGTTCGTATAGACGTTGTCAATGAGGAAAAATATTAATGCGTGCGTGTTGAGTTGATTTTATTAATGGAATATATGCTGTCCAATGTAGTCACCTATCTTTGAACTGTTCATGGTTTAGTCTTGTAAAAGGTCAACTATTATTAGCAAAGATTATTGTCCACGTATTCCCAATCTGTTGGTTGTGCAAGTACGGCAAGCTGGTTACAGCAATTATACTGGTGAGCAATACATATTGTTGTTCATTTTCTTCTGTAATTTGACTCAACCGTCAAAGTGGGTTTGTTATTCATTGTTTGCATTGGATTGGAATTCACCCTTTTACAATCGAACGTTTTCCAAATTTAAAATAATGTTGCTGGTTTAAATATGTTGCCCATAATGAACGCTGTTTTTTTTTGTCATTGTCCCGTTCCGTTTCTCATATTGTTCGTGACTTATAGTGAGCGTTAGCACATTCATTCCCAGTATGAGCTAACATTTATACCCACTTACAGCGACGGTTCCTGGAAGTCTGATTGAGGGTTTCTGAAAGAGTTATTGTGCGAACTTTTCATACAATCGAAGGCATTCACAGGACATAGTTAGGGTATAGTTAAAAGTTGGGCGCTTGAACGGTTATATTTATTTTGTTATGATTGTGGATACTTTAATTCCTTAAAATGACGATGGGTAAGAGTTCCAAAAGACTTCTCTCCGATAGCCCTAATCTTCAATCTGCCCCTCTAGTATTCCTCCTTTATTTCAATTAAATAAACCACCTATGGGTCAGTTATAATTATTTGGGGGGCCATATTGAATTATAGATTGAGGTTGGAGTGTTGGAATTAGGATTCAAGTGATGCGAGGGACTTAAAGTACTCTTTCCATATTATTTACACATGGCTGGTAATGAATACAAATCTGTACTATGGAAGTAGTAAGAAAAGTAGTCGGAATAAGTAAGCAAGCTGTCCGGGTCTCCCAGTACATGTGAACAGACCCTCGTAAATAAGTACAAACTACTTAATGGGCTACTGAGTACTAGAGAAGCATATATAATCACACAGTGCTACATATTTTATCTCAACGATTGTTTGAGGTCATCTTATCGACCTCTTATGAAGTAATTAGTGATCGGGTGTATTATTGTTTGTTATTCTCAGTCAGACTTGATTCTGTATTGTGGATTTTACTAGTAACTCCTGTACGTTATTTATATCGAATTAATGATTAAATACGTGTATTTGAAAAGATGTATTTCGAGGCGGGGATGGGGATGGCGGTCACCGATTTTTCAGCTTGCGAGGGGCATGTGACCCAAAAGTTCAAAACTGAGCCCCATTATCGGTCATGTAATTAATTCCCCCGTATAAATAGCGCCGCACGTGACAACTCGTTTGCTCCATAACACTATTATAAACTATTTTACAATATAATTGTTTTCTACTTTTTCAAAAATATCGTTTTTAATTTGTGTAACATAGTATTATATGATTTATTTCACAAATAATAATAACAATTCTAGTAATCTTATATGTATACATATATATATATATATATATATATATATATATATATATATATATATATATATATATATATATATATATATATATATATATATATATATATATA